AGATGGTTCAAACTTTCCAATTGCCAGCTATGTCCTCCACAAACTTTAGGATACGCCCCAAACACATTTTATAGATAGGTTTAAAAGATGTGTTAACGTCAATTTTCTGTCCTGTCTCTATAATATGTTTTGCAATAGAAGAGCTAGGTGGTCATCTGTTCTCACCATTAATGGGTTCTGAAGATTCCATTTGTTTCTGAAGCCATTTAGAAGTGTGCTTTGAAGCCATTCCTTACTTGTAGAGATCGATGAGTCCTCCCAATGTATGTGTGTCCACGCATACATTCAAGCTGGTAAATCCAGTGGGATGTGACATCATTTTTCGCATGTTCAAAGGGCTTAGATGGATGGATATATTGGCTTCACATTCTCAATTTTTATGATACTAGCTGCATAAAAAGTCTTATTGACAGCAGCATTCAATCTTTGTCTAGTTATCGAGCTGCTGTGATGCCCCATATAGCGTAGGTAGCTTTATGTACACGTCTTTCTTAGCGGTGAGTTGTAGAGTGGGTCTTGGTGTTCTGACTACTTTATATCACCTGATGAAATTGTCTGGAAAGAATCTTCAGAACCCAATATTAGTGAGAATAGGAGACCTAGCTCCTCTACTGCGAAACATATTATAGAGGCAGGACATAAAATTAACGTTAACACATCTTTTAAACCTATCTATAAAACGTGTTTGGACCGTATCCTGAAGTTTGTGGAAGCCCTAGCTGGCAATTATAAAGTCTAAACCACCTTTATGCGTTCAAAGTAACAATTCGTCATCACACTAAACCTTCTTTGGTAAACGTCGTTTTGATACTAGTCAGGGTAGATGTAGTATTACCTCTGTCATTTGGTTTAGTGATCTTCATTGTTATTTTGACCTTCAATATCTTTTTAACTTGACCTGAGTAATTTATTTTTCTCACCTTTAACTCTTTAATAATTTCATATGTGCACATTCCTATAACAAGTCTGTCTCTGTGATCAGATTGTTCGAAATGTGTTGTGCGCGCGAATACACATTACACGATCCAGACAAATTACGTCTTCTTATTGTCTTGTCTTAATCCTTATTATTTGTCTTTGTCCCTGTCTGTTTAATCTCTAATTTCAAATGATTCTCTTTATGGTTGTGTGATGATGGTATTGATAAGGTGTTGTATTAAACCTGGGATTTTGTTTAAGTGAATGGGGGTCACTCTTCCTTCGACGCTGTGCAGATTTGATTTAACCTTACTGGGGATAGTCAATCTGATTCTCACCACTTGCTTTGTACTCAGGAAATTAATTTATCTTTATAGCTGTCTAATTGCACTGTTGAGGTAATTTTGAGTTATTGAGGTAACTAGTTACTTGTTGAACAGAACCACAGATTCCAGCAATGAGTCGTCGTAGTTTTGCTGTCTTTGGAGCCTTTTGTGATTGTTCATCCGTCAGTTATACAGCGGAATGCACAGATGGTTTTCCAGCTTTCAGAAAACAACGAGTCGGTTTGGGTCATTGCAATCAAATTTGAGACTTCTTGATGCAGGCGATAGATTCGACTCAAAGAGTCACAAGTGAGACAAAATTAAAGCGCAACGGAAACTACTCTGATCGGAAATACTCAACAAAGATAGGCGACAGACTGCTAAATGAAAACAGTGTTGAATATTTATATACTCTAAAAAATAACCTTGACTAACACGAAATCCACTCATAAATTTAAACACTTGAAAACATCAAAAGCTAGAAACACTAAACCTTCTTTGTTAAACGTCGTTTTGATACTAGTCAGGGTAGATGTAGTATTACCTCTGTTATTTGGTTTAGTGATCTTCTGTGTTATTTTGACCTTCAATATGTTCTTTTAAATTGACCTAAGTAGTCTATTTTCTCACCTCTTAACTCTTTATTAATTTCATATATACACATTCCTATGACAAGTCCGTGTGTGATGGATCGGATTGTTCGAAATGTGTTGCGTGAATACGACATTACACGATTCAGACAAATTACGTCTTCTTATGGCTCTGTCTAAATTCATAAAGAGAACTAATTGTTTTAAATTATTATAAAGTTAGATGTAACACATCCAAATAAGTATAAATATTGTAATTAGATAATTCAGGAGGAATTTTCCAAAAATTAATTACATTAAAATTATTAACCATTGAATCGAAATCACTATGGAAAATACGCAAACAGTGAAAACTATGTCTAACCCGTACCTGTTCAAAGGAAACCTTGACTAAGATATGCAAAATCCTATACGTTTCGATGTTGTTATGTTCTCTAAGCTGGATAATTTCTATTGCGAAGCTTTGTTATGACCTTCATTATAATAAAGCTTTTTGTATTTCCCAATGAATGAAAAACAAAACGATATTGTCGTTTTTACTGACATTTAGCTATTTAATGCTAATAGCTTTATCAAAGTATTATTAAACCGGAATTTACAAAATCTCAGCATACATATAACAAAGAGTTAAGGGGTGAGAAAATAGACAAGTTAGGTCAAGTTTAAAGGATATATTGAAAGTCAAAATAACAGTGAAGATCACTAAACCAAATAACAGAGGTAATAGTACGTCTGTTATGACATCAAAACAAAGTTTACTAAATTGATTATCGTTCGTCAGTCTGGGGTCATTTTTCGTTGTCAAGTTGGTCAATTGGTAAAGATAACAAAACCAAGTGTAGATTGTTGAATTTGATCAGTGTGTAAAATTATAAAACAGCGTGTGTTTATATAATGATATTGTTTATCACATTCGTGTTGATTGTGTCATTACAAGGGGGAGTGGGGTGTTGTAACCAGGTCAAATTCCCTTTTAGTTCATCATTCCTATTCAGTTCAGACAATTTGGTTTCAATCTGACATAAAATGCTTCTGATATTAGACGTTCTTTATGATTTCTGAAGTTTTTCTAGATAATTTCAATATTGTCAAAATCAATTTTGTTACCTGACTTTATAGCATGTAGACCTATGGCTGATAATTTTTCAAGTTTTTCTAGTTCAACCGGATTTCTCGGTGGTTGAAGAGATGCTCCACGGTGTTCATTTCTTCTGATTTTGATTTCTCGAGATGTCTGTCCTATGTATATCACATCACATTCCAAGCATTTTATTTTATAGACACAATTAGATAAAGAATCTTTAGAGATTTGGTCTTTTAAATGGACAAGGTTGCTTTGTAGTGTGTGAGTCTGATGTTTTGAAGAAAACTCTAATGTCGAGCTGATTGAGTACTCTTCTGATATCGTCTGACGTCTCTGCTGTATATGGAATGACGACTGTTGAGGTCCATATTTTCGGAATGCGTTTCCGGCCATACTTATTGTCTGTGTTGATTTTGTTGATGAAGTCCCTTGGGTAGTTGTTTTGCTTGAGAGTTTCAGTAATGTTTGATATTTCCTCTTCTTTTTCTTTCTCATCCGTTATCAGAGAGTGTGCTTGTCTAAGAAGACTTGAAACAACTGAAACCTTTGCGCTGATGGGGTGTGATGATCCGAAGTCTAAATATTTACTGAACCTAAGTCTATTTTCTCACCCTTTAACTCTTTGTTACATATATATGCTCAGATTTTGTAATTTCCGGTTTTATAATACTTTGATAAAGCTATTAGCATTAAATGGCGAAACGTCAGTGAAAACAATATCGTTTTGTTTTTCATTCATTGGGAAATACAAAAAGCTTTATTATAATGAATATCAAATACCCAATGCCCAATTTTTTTTCACACTTTTAAAAGTGAACTTGGTTTGTGACATATATAACTTTGTTATGACCGTTCATACACACTTGCGTCAACGAACTTTTTATCTTGTCAATTACAAAGTCTACTGTTTTAATCACCATTGACAACAACAATGACACGATACGATACCAGAGAAACCGCCATGCAACAAGACAGACCGTTGACTTGAAGATCTTTTACTGTTTCAAATCAAAAGCGAGAAGGGTTGACAGCAACTGCTCATATATATGCTTCAAATGGCCTTGAGAGACAGTAATTACATGGATAGGCTAAAACAGCCAGTAACCAATAGGATTTCAAGGTCATAAGTGGGGTGAGGGAATTACAATTAGCAGAGTAAAGATAAATATGGTATTCTAGAAGAAAAGAACAAGAAGTTAAGCGAAGATGGCGATCTTTTCGGTGATTTCACTCTCAAAAGCTATACAATCGCAGTTATATACATAAGCTTACATAGATACAATTATTATTTATTTAATTTCTCATAGTAACGAAGGTTATAATAATTTTCAACTTGATATGAAAGTTTGAAGGTACAAATGTATAGATTACAATGGGCTTAGAGACAAGATTACATAGGATTAGAAAACAGTTACAACATCTACAAAATTAATATTTGATAACCGGAGAAATAATTTTAAAGGCGAATAAAAAGTGACACTTATTTTCAGCTTGATATGAATTACAAGAGGCTTAGAAACAAAAGTTTCGCAGGGATAAAACAAATTACAGGCGTGAACAAAATGAGCGTGGGAACAAATTGAAATCAAAATTTTCAACTTGAAATGTAAGTTAGGAGGAGGTGTGAATATAGATTACAAGAGGCATAGAAACCAAAAAAAATTACACAGGATTATAATATAAATGTAAAAATGGTTATTCTTAACGGATTACAAGTGTGATCAGGAGGAGAATCGAAACAAACTTAAACTGATTTTATAACTGGAAAAAATGGGATGAACTGAATGAAGACAAAGAGAGAAAAATGCGCATAAAGCGAACAAAACAAATAATTGAGGGATAAGGGAAAATACTGAACTAGATCCACGGTAGTTGTAAAGGCCGGAGTAGTTTCTTTTAAACACACAACTCCGGCTTTCCGATGCATATGGCGAGAGCTTCTGCAGCATAAAGAAGTCGGAAACACAATAATATGTCATTTCACCGGTAATTTTGACTCATATTGTAGGCAGAGTGCAAATGAAACTTCTGTTCATTATTATTATTGCCTGCTATTTATATTAATCTAATTTTCTTTTCCAGTTTCAGTAAACTTTTAGAGTTAAAACAAGAAGCTGAACAAAAGCAATTACATCTTTCACAGATATTAGAAACAGAACTACGCGCTAAATGGCACTATGTAAAACAAATTGAAGAATTGACAGCTGAAATAAAACAATTAAAATATGAGGCAAGTTTAACCTTTCCCTTTTGATGTAATACATGTTTATCTGCATGTTTGAGAATTAACAATAATAATAATAATAATGGTAATAGTAATAAAGCTTTATTTAAGACTATATGTGAACGTATAATACAAACATTTTCAGTGTATTTAATTGGAAGAAAGTTAAATCAGCGCGCAAGTCCATGTATGGATCACTTGATTTTGATGGAAAGTAATTTCGGTAGCCCGGTGGATTTAAGCAGACCGCTGCATATAGTAAATGAAAGTGAACTGAAAGTGAACCTAGATCCTTTTTTTAATGTCTCCAGAATCTTTGTAATGTGTATCCAATAGAATGGATCTACAACATTTTGTGGATAATTTAGACCATGGCTAAGTAAATTTGTGAATGTTGACTAGCAGTGAAATTCAATCAGGATGTGCATTTCGTCCTGTTTGGGACTCGTCAGCCACTGGATATACCTGTATTCTCCAGTAAGTGATGATGTTCCCACCGAGCCTCAAACCCAGTGCCCATAGTTTCAAACCCCAAAGCGTTACCCACTGGACCACTCAGGCTACGGAAGCCACTCCATCTCTTGTGCAACGGGTCATATTAATTATTTAATTGAATTTTAGATTTTCCCGTCGATTGATTGGGCCGAAGTGCTTGGTCTCAGTCTTCTTGTTTAGATGCTTCGAGTCCCAAATAGGATGAGATGTGTATCCTGGATTCCACTGCTGGTCACCATCCACCAATTAACTTCTAATTACATGCTGAGACATTATTGAAGCATCTGCACAAGAAGCCGACATGTCAATCTGAGACCGAGCACTTCGGTCCATCAATCGACGCGAAAGTCTAAAATTCAGTTAAATAATTAATATGATTCGTTGCACAAGAGGTGGCTCTCGTGGCATAAGTGGTCTGGTGTACAATGCTCTGGCGTTTGAAACTGTGGGTACTGAGTTCGAGCCTCGGTGGGAACATCATCACTCAGTGACTGGGGAATGCACGTACATCCAGTTAGCTGACGAGTCCCAAATAGGATGAAATGCGCATCCTGATTGGATTTCACCGGTATTTACCACCCACCAATTAAATTCTAGTTTCTTGATTGGTTTAATCCTGAAGTTCCTTGTTGCTAATTCTTTATCACCAGCTATCTGAACTTTACTCTGATTGAACACTGGTAACTAGTGTGATGTGTCTAGTCCTTTATTTGTCGCAGACTGAATTCTGTCAGTCAGGTTTGCACTAGTTACTAGTGTCAAATTAAAATATCCAGTACAGTCCGACAAGAGGTCAGTCGTGAGCCTGAATAGCTCAGTGGTAACGTTTTTGACTGTAGACGGCACTGGTTGGTGACATAGGTTGAAATCTCGGAAGGGATATGAGTTCATTCAAGGTTGCAGATACGCCTTGTTGACGAGTGTGCCAACTGGCACGAAACGTAGGTTGAAGGCTTCCTGTCGATTGCCTCCAACCATCCAATATTATCTAACCTTTAGTATGGAGCCAGTGAAGTGTGCATCTGCTAATGTAAATCAACAGTGGCCTGTTAGAAACGGTTTTCGTGACGCTAAGACTGTGTTTCTGACCCATACGGAAGGAGTGACTGATTTAACATTACTGTTGAAAATTCAAATTTCGTTGTTTGTGCTGAGTGTAGAAGATTTCCAAGATGGTTTCAAGGTAGTGTATGCGTGCCTTACCTTTCCGATTCTGCTTTTGACATCCTGATAGGTTCCGATTGCCTTAAGTTGAAAGGATGCTTCCTGAACAATTGAAGGAAGTGACTCCTTTCAAATTTTTCCCCTTGATAATGAATAATGCTGGTTGTAGTTGTTGTTGGTTGGTTACTTTCATCAACTTCGTTTTTTTCTACATTCAGTTAAAATCCTGCCATTGCCGCTTCTTCTGTCAAGTTGTTGGTTTTCATCGGTATTTCTTCTAGTTTTGTGTGATATTAGACCTAAACCACCCTTTAAATTTGAATCTTTTCTAGTCCTATTGTCGGTCCGTCGTACTCCTGTCTTCATGCTTCTCACATTCTTCCGAATGATCCAGTCCACCACAATCAGGGATATCATGGGTGATAATCACCTAGCAGCCTTGTCTGTCTTACTCCAATATTTACTCCAAACGCCTCTCTGAGGTCTCAGCTACGGATCACCTAACACGTGCCATTCTCATGTAAGTACCGAATGAGGTCCACAAAGAGTTAGGGGCACAGCCATCCACAGTGTTGAAGTAGTTTCCAAATTATTTCTCTGTCAGCAGTGTCGAAGGTCTTTTCAAAGTCAATAATATTCAGGTAAAGCCATGTTCTAGTTGTCCCTAAAAGACCATTACACAAAGAGTACTGAATTAAAAGATTTGAATAAAACTAGCAGCTCTATGCGTTTACAGCATCGATGTGAACATATCAGTGTTCTGATTGTTTGTAGCTGGAAGTCATTTGGTTAGTCGTTCATTTATAACAGTGTAATTTACCATTATCCACTATCAGTCATTGTCTTTCAAAGGATTGATCACAAACTATCCTCAGTAAGAGGACCGCTGAGAACCGAAGAGTACTGGAAGAAGGAAAATTAATCCAGTGCTCTCCATGGAAACTGATCCCAGCATGTAGTAGCCTGAAGTTCTATTGGGAAGTCGTGACCAATGAGGTCCATAAAGTTGGATGTTAAAACAAATACCCACCAGTTAGGGTGGTATATAAGCTCACCTTGTAGCCACCCTTTGTTGGTGTGTACTGATGAAGAGTTATGAGCCGGGACGAAACAGCTATCCAGCAGTCCATGGTCTTCTACAGTTATCAATCATGAATTTAATCAAATCCGTGCAAGCCAACACTTGATAAAGGATAGTGATACCAGCTTCTTCAAACCACAGAGGCTATGATAATCCACGTTTTAGACCCCGAGCTGTGCATACAGAAGTAGTTTTTTCAGTTAGTGAATCTAAAGAGGACTTCACATATACCAAATCTTGATGCGAAGTGGTTTTAATCCTAATTTTGATTTGTTTGTGTTCTTTTTGCAGAGATCTAACTGATTTCAAGTTTTCACATAAGTTAACTTCGCTTAAAGAAGCAGGAAAAGTCAACAGTGAGTACTGGGGAGTTGTTTAGCTCCTGTTTCGGACTCTTCATAGGTATTCAGGCATCACCTCCATCAAGGATGGAATCAAGGCACTTTAGGTTGCAGGTTGAGCCCACTGACTACTCAACCTGCATATCTGCACGTCCGAATCGGCGAAATAATGGGCGGAAGTCCACTGTGATTGAGTATATGGCAAGCATAGTTAAATTTCGGTAAAATAATGGTCGAAATGTCAAAAACCTTGTCATACAAAAAAAATACTCACCCACTTCTTTAGTACAAGCCATGCCCATTATCTGCCCATTATCAACCTATTTTCTGCCACTTTTGTTCCACTGTGTTGGGAATTCTTCTAGTGCTCACCAGTGTGACTGAATATAGGAGTAAGTGTATATTGCTGGGCGCTCTAGTGGGAAATTGTGATCAGCGCCATCCACCATATTGGGCGTGAAGACACATACCAGCGACACTGGCTGTGAGACACTATGTATATATATATATATATCCTGCGAATTCGCGGAAGTTGTGATTGATGGATCCATTGGATTCCTTACCAGTGGCTCACTGACCAACCTGGAAGTCGTCGTAGTAATCCACAGTACGCACTACTAAAGAGTTACAGAGTAGGAGCAAAAAGCTCTCCACTACTCCGTGTCAGCTTTTCCTTCATTATCTACTGGTTTAAAGGAATATGATTGGTAGTTAAAGATTTGATCACCAATCGATATGCGTTAGACAACCACTGAGAACCAACAGGGAATACTGAATGGCTGTTCCGGCCTAGTTTGCGACTCTTAAATAAATACTACGCTTTCAACACCAAGCCTCGAACCCAGGACATTTCGGCTACAAGTAAAGCTCATAGAGCTTTGAATTATTATGTTTACCACTTCGTGATTTCATTGTCATTGGTACCAACCAGGGTCATCAGTGGCGAGTACTTGTCTTCACTCCCGACTGGATATGGACCCCACTTGTCACAAGTGCCCACCAGTACCGCAGGCAACCTCTTCCTGTAGCCAGTCAGTCATTAGCGACACATCAGATTTCAATTTCTAAGCGTTTTCATCATCTTATGGCACTATTTGGTTAGCTACATGAACTCGCACACATTTTAAGTTTTCTGTCAATAGAAATACAAAGTATTTTTATAGAACCATATACTACTGATAAATTGAGATGAATAGTAGTATATTACACATATCAACCATTAATACTTGATAACTAGTCATTTTGTGGTAACATAAACAAATTTTGAAATATATGAGGTTCGATGATATTAGATGGTTGGAGGCAATCGGTAGGAAGCCTTGCTTGACCTAGAATTCGCACTAGTTGGCATTCACCGGTCAGCAAGGCGTATCTGCAACCTTGAAGGAACTCATGCCCTTTCTCAGATTCGAACCCACGTCACCCAGTGAGTACTGCTGTCAGAGACGTTACAACTGAGGTATTCAGGCTCGCGACTGACCTCCTGTAGGAGTGTAGTGGATATTTCGATTTGACCTAGAATTCAGTCTGCACCAAAGGGAGGACTTGACACATTACACGAGTTACTAGTGTCAAATCAAAATATATAAGGTTCATTTTACATTCAGTAGCTGAACAGGGATTGTTTAACTGTTGTCCACTTGTGACTGAAAGCATGTTGTAATCCGTAGAATTCCAGGCATGTAGATTTATCAAAAGGTTATCTCATCAACTCCTCATTTCTTGAGTTGTTGAACTAAACAAATCTATTCACTGGCAAACCGGACGTACGCATTTAACGTTCTTTTATGATTTCTAAGATGATTATTGTTCATCATTGCGTGGTTATATTTTCAGTCATACTTAAAACAGTCTCTTTTATAAATTTGGACAGTTTTATTAGAAGACGGAGATTATCTGAAAAATGTAATGTGATGATGTATTTG